TTTTCCCATTTATGCACCGAAACATACACAAGACAGGAACCCAATTTCAATACAAACTATTCGAACTGGAATGCAAAACAGTCAGAGGGCTTCCGACGTCCACGATGAGGGAAGTTTACGCTTCTAGATACCATGCTGGCTCCCACTCTGAGCAAGTGAGATGATTATTTTTTCCGTCATTTAAAAAATTGCCTCGAATTTTCCATCTTAAGGTGATTTTTAGCAAATGATTGTCCTAGAACTTTCCTTTTTCTTCAATGTATCTCTTCAGCCCCCCGGAGCACTGCCCTGGCCCTTTTTAGCTGATGTGACCTACATGGTCACTGGGTCCTTTGCATTTAACACAACCACTGACGTGCAAAGACTTCAGTGCAGGAAACTGTTTGTTATTTATCATCTGAATTTAGAGAGGCTCTGAACGAAAATCCAAGGCTGCACTACGTGTCAGCAATTACAGTTTTTGGGTAAATTAAATGGGGTCAAAAATAGTACAATTCCATTTTATCATCTCAGGTTGTGAGTATCTGTAGACCACTCAGTGATAAAAGCTATGAGAATCAATCAGCTTAAAAATTCAACTAAGTTAAAGGGAGTAAAACATTTTCAGAAAACTGTTGAACAGAAACGAATAAGAGAATCATCAGATTGCAATAGTTGGCAATGTCGCTTTCCCTTGCTACTTAATTATTGCACCAAAGAGACATGGCAGTGTGGACATCTCTCCAACGATGTCTTTCTTTAAAACTAAATATATCTTAATTTACTATTTTTCCTTTCAAATAATTGCACGCTTGATCACAGTTTTCTACAGACAGAAAACAGAGTCGGTGAAGTCTAGATTCACCATCTCAACCCCAAAGCAGCACCGATGCTCAAACCACAATGAAGATTTTAACACTGCTGTTTTGTGTTGTAGTTCTATGTACAGAAATAAATACAGATGGGTGTTCTACAAAAAAGGTATGAAAATCCCCAGTGCTTCTAAAACTAAGGGTGAACAGCTCTTAGAAAGGAGCGTTTGGCATAAGATAGAAGGCGAATTCCAGAACCTAACACAACACTCGAAATTCTATGAGATAAATTAGGGAAATGAGGCCAATCTTTAAAAGGCTGATCAAAATAAACCCTTCGGAGATTGTAATAAGGGTTAGAGGCGGCAGTGCTAAAGGTTTGGATCATTTTAATTTGCTGAGGAGAAAATCAAAGCGAAGCCAGGAATTAATCTTTCAAATATGATCAAATAAGGCAGAGGGACCTAGTAGCTGTACAGCTCAAATACTGCATGTGACTCAAACTTTGATCAAATGAATCCAATTTGAAAGGTGACAGAGGAGTTCTCCATGCTAGGGAGCTCTGTGTTTTGTTTGTGAAAAGCAAAGAAGTTCTGAAATGTTAGCTGTACCCTGTTCTTTTTAGGTTGTTGTGTTTGTGTTTTTACGGGCCGGATACTTTCACGACACAGTACAAATGCAGTCGAGGAGCTGGGGGCTGAAAGAAGCTCCGTTAGTTTAAGGGCAGGTTGAGCGACAGGCTCTTATTATTAAAGTTGAGGCGGCGTTTCTGTTGCTTGGGGCACACGCGGCACAGACTGCAGGGTGCCCGCGGGGCGGGTCCCGGGAGGTAAAGCGCGGCACGAAGTGCACAGGCCCAGGGGCACCAAGGAGAGGGCTTTGGTCCCAAAGGATGGTCAAAGAGAGACACAGAAGAAATGGTGCCATCCAGGGAGGGGATGGGGGGCACCACTGGTTGGCGTTTAGGCCAAGACATTTTTGGCTTAGGGGCTGTGGTGTTACTGGGGTAACACGTGTCAAATCCAGTTTTCCTGCCATAAGCAACGAGGACACAACACAGCAAAACGTTCCTGGAAAATTGGCCCTATCTTTAAGCTGGCGAGAGGTGCATCCTACAGCGCACTGAAAACCACGCCGCAATTCCGCAGCAGAACCGCTGTTGACGGGAAGCAGCACACCCACTCTGCGGGAAATGCCCGAAGAATCCCAGATCCGGAGGACACAGTTGGAGGCAAAGCACCTCCTTGGTCCTGAAATGGCTCTGGGCTCTCCCCATGGCCCGGAGAGATGGCACGTAGGTGACGTCTGTGATGACGGCCCCGGCTGGGCCCTCTCCTGCCTGGGTCACGGCCTTCTCCTCCTGGCCAGGCGCACGCAGAGCCAGTGCTGACGGAGTGCCTGCGACCACGCGGAGGGGGAATGCAGTGAGACACAGGGTTGAGGACAGAGAGAGTCTCTCCCCAGCAAAGGTGGCCGCACGCCGTCTGGGCCTCCTGGCGGGCCGCCCTCCGCTCTCTGGCCAGGCTCCAGGGCCCCCAGATGCTCTCCCCACTCGGATGCAGCACCTCCTCCTCCTTGCCGTTCCTAGAAAGGGCAAGAGAAGTGACGTTCCTGCTGAAAGGACACGCTATGCTGGGGCCATCACGGTCCCTCGTCCCCGTCTCGGATGCCACGGAAACGGCTCAGCTTGAAAAGGCCACAGTGAAGATCACGAAGGAGCCCGAGCGGGGAAAATGCCAAAGACCTTGAAACGGACGCCCTTTCCAACCGTGCGACACGGTTTCCCTCCACTGGGCTGAGTGTTTAAGGCCAACAGCGTGTGGCGGAGAAGGCAGGCGTGTGAAACCGAGGAGAGGGCCGAAGTTGCGCTTAGGAGGGAGTCCGCCCACCCAAGCTGGCACGAATCCCAGGGATGTTTCCGTGCGGGGCACGGTCCGCCCGTGTGGGGTCCCCAGGCAGACCCGTCCCCCAAACTTTAACACCTGACTTCAGAAACCAGCTGCAGGGGAGACAAAAAAGCCTCAACCACAAAATATCAGCTTTCCATTTTTCATTGGTCACTGCTATGGAATGTTAAGAAAAGTCAGCATTAGCCAAGTTTTCAAAATCCGACAGACGATCATGCCTTAAAATGTCGCAGAAAATGCAAGCAGCCAAGGAGCCCGCCCCATGACCTTCTGGGAACTGTCGAGACTCCAGGCAAAGAGAGGAGCTCAAGGTCATTACGTAGAAAGGCAGCAGGAAGGCATGAAGCCTCTGCTCCCAGCGGCCACCGTGGAACCACGTGAAGGTTTGGTTTCCTTGCATACGTTTAAAAAGGTATTTAGGCAACCACTGCGTCAGAAAATCACAGTCCACCGGTTTGAACCGATGCATCGAATTGCTCATGGGAGCACGCAGATGACGTCCAGCACACGAGGCGGCCGGTTCTCGGAGCCTCGGGTTCCTGCATGTGACTTGGCGGATTTAACGAAGCCGCCCGAGAAATTTCATCAACAACCTCAAAGCCAGAGTGAGCTGCAGGGCTTGCAGGGGTAAAGCGGTCGCCGCACACATCTTTTTCTTTCTTTTTCTCATCTTGGCCAATCTGGCTCTTCCCCTCCAGCGCGGGCGGGGTGCGGGCGACGGGGAGACGGTGTGCTCGCGGCGACCCTCCTGGTGTGCACACTTGGCGTTTCTCAGGACCCGAGGCCCAGAGTGATGAGGAGTTACCCAGGATCACAGCGCTAGTCGGTACATGAGCAAAGCCAGGATGAGAAGTGGCTGATGCCACATCCGGTGCTCACTGTGACGCCTCCTGTATACGCGGCGAGCCACGTGGAACTAAGGGCTGCTCAGAGGGGCTCTCGCAGTGGTCTGCTGCGATGATCCTGCTACGGGATGGAGCCAGTTCACGAAACACTTCCCCCAAATCTCTTCCCGTTCCTGCTCTCTGAAATGAAGGTTTTCCTTCAGTATATAAACTCAAAGCTTTCCTAAAGGATTCACTCCCTGATCTGACTACGATTAAATCAGAACACTGGAGACAGCCGAGGTTCCACAAAAGACTGCGCATAGAGCTTGTCTCTGCACGAGGCTTCCATCCCTCCAGGAAAACCATCCCAGTGCAACGAGACGCCGCCTTCCCTCGCTCCCCACACTTCCTAAAAGGCACCCCTGACGGGGACGGAGCGTTAGCACACCTTTTGATAGCGACGTCCCGAAACATCACCTGCAGCTGTGTTGGAGCAAGGAGGTGCCGCCAAGATCAAACTGCGGTGACGGCGTGTGCGGCTCAGCCAGAGACAGATGCGGGGCAGGAAAGAGCATCTCTCGGTGTGCCTGAGAGGGACCGCAGCAAACGCCGCTGGCGGGGGGTTAGGTGTCTTCCCCGTCACACTCTTGTTTTCAAAGAATAAAGGTCTCTGTTTAGGAAACGTCATTCGGAGGGCGCTGCCTGGTTTGGGCGAGAGAAAGGCGAAGTGTGGATGCACAGGGCAGCTCGTGCGCATCCTGGCGGGGGCCGACGCAGAACTCCCATTTGCTCTCCCTGGAGCCGTGGCTGTGGTCCTTTGGTGTGCTCTGAAACACGGAACTCTCAGGCTGGTGGAGGAAGGAGGCCCCGGGCCCTGGCTTTTTGGCGGTACTTTGTGTGGGTACCAACCATTTCACGTATCCCGGAGGGTCAAAGCTCCGGTCCTGGAAACCGTCACAAACTCTGCATCGCAGCGACAACGGGTGCCTCCCGAGAGGTCAGTTGGCGTACTGGGTGTAGAAAGCCACCTTGACTCTCTCGATCTGGTGGCACAGCTTGATGGCCGGCCCCAGCTTCAGCTCCATGCACTCCTGCACCGTCGGGAGGGTGAGCAGCAGCAGGGCCTGGCCGTCGATGTCCTGCCGGAGGGAGAGAGAAAGGCAGGTCAGAGAGGGGCGGTGTGCACCGAGGGCACCTGTGCCACAGCGGGCTTCGTCCCGGGGCCAGACACGAGAAGGGGCTGCTCTAGTCTCACCTGGTTTGGGGGAGCGCTGGCAGAGACACCAGCCCGGCTTGATGACTGTCTATCTCTGTGTTAATGAAATCTGTTTGCTAAGAACATTTTCGCTACTCTGAAATGCACACGCCTACCCTGGTGGGTGCAAGAACTGGGGCAGATAGCCTGCTGCAGGAACTGTTTCTCAAGCTTGTCATCCCTTTTGGGGAGAGCAAACCGCACCCCCAACCAATGGCAGGCCAGGTCCTCCCCATGAGATGCTGTGACTTAATCTGAGAGCTAGCAGACAGCTCTCTCCTGAAAGAAAAAGCTCTCTTCTTCCCTGCCAAGGTCTGACATTTCACCACCAGGACTCGTGAGGAGATGCTCAGGGAAAGATACGCCAGCCACACAGCACGGTCTTTCTGCAGAGGGACACGCGTGCGCATGCACACGCATGCTCTCTTATAGGCACGCATGGCCCAGAGTGCCATGTGGCTTGGACACAGGTCTGCCGCCCCATCCTGCCTCATTCAGCCCTTCTATGGCCACACGCAGGATCCCACCCCACGATCGTATTCATTAAATGACTGCTGAATTGAACTTGCTGCAGTTAGAAGGGTACAAAGACCCGCCCAAAGCTCTCAGATCATCCACTGGGCAGCTCTGTCTGCTCAGCTGCTCGCTTCCTGTGACAACCTGCTTTACCCATGTGGACGCCACTGGACTCGACTGAGTCTGACTGCAGCTTCCCTTCCTATTAACCAGGCTGTCTCCACAGTGCAGAGGAACAGCTGGGGCTCCGAGGGGCTGCAGGCCCACGGTAACAGTATAGATCAGCGGTAGGACGAGAGCATAGATGAACTCGGCCCAGCAGAATTCCTGCCACTTGGAGAAGCATCGCACCCAGGGCTGCCGTAAGCCACAAGGACGCGACAGCCAAGCAACAGCACATGCACACACGTCTCAGACAACGCCTACCAGTGACTTTCACACAGGAGCTTATTTTCTTAAACTAATGGCTGCTTTAGCTGTCTTGAAAAATAGCTAAAGCACAAAACCAAAGTGTGCATAATCGGTAGCATTGAGGAGACCGGTGTGAACAGCAGGCACAATTCATCACCTGAGCAGATGCAAAAGCCACCATGGTCCCTAATCATTGCAGCAGGAATAAAAACTAGGCATTAACTTAAAAAGCATCAAGGTGAGTGCAATGTATTATTTTAAAATTACAAACAGGCACCAGCTATGATGTCTGCAACTTGAAGCCATGTCTTGACCGAGACTCAAAGGTGACCTTATCACACCACAAAGTAAAGTGAACAGATCAGTCTCGTGGACACACTGAAAGCAGGAGATACAAACTATATAAAATTGTCAATATATTTTTCATGCTATATTTGTATCATTTTCCCCCCTTTTTTTTTTTTTGTTTTTCCTTTTTTTTTTCTTTTTTTTTCAATTGTTCGGTTGGGGCGGCCATTGTCAGGGACCTGGATACTCAGCAAAGGTAGCCCTGGCCTGGGACCCGTTGGCCAACTCCACTTACAAAGCCAAATCTGTACATATTAGACCAAAATGGGCAGAGAGGGCACAGGTGTAGGGACACAAAGTCTTCTAGGTGTCATGGGCCTCACAGGAATACATCTGAAGTAGGTAGTGCACGGATGTCACAAAGCTGTGTGCAGGTGGCTTCGCCATTGTGTTTAATGACATTAGCAGAACAGGTCAGAACAGAACTGAAACTTATTTTGGGAGACGGAAGTTTCCTTTCGAGGCAGAAATTAATGCCCAAGAAAGCCAGCTGGTCTAACTAAGATGGCAAACGGCACTGGAACTAGAATTGTGGTTTTCTGATATTAAACTAGGGAGGGAAAATTGTAGCTCGGTCTTTAACATCTACACTTGGTCAGGATGGCCATCATTGGACATGCAGATTCAGTGACCATTAAAAATCAGCCCTAAAATATTTACACAACTCACCTTCTACGGACAGTCTCCGTCAAGGTGGCCGAGACACACATGCACCCCGTTTGGGTGGAGGATGCCACTCGCTCACCTGTTTACTCCACAAACATTTACTGAGCATCTACTGAGTGCCGGGCACTCCGATGGCTTCTGGGAATATCACACTGAATGCGGGGAACATTCCCTCTTGGGAGACTCCAGGAACCCGAAGGGAGGACACAGGTAAACAGACTATTACGAGATGGGGCGATTAATGCCTGGACACAGAGCTAAGGCCCCAAACAGGACGCCAAGCCAGTCTTCCAGGGGTGTCAGGAAAGCCTTCTGAGGTTAAGTGATGCCTAAACTGACACCTGAGGGACGAGTGGGGATTATTAAGGCAAGGACCAGCCACAGAATTCCAGGGATGTGGGGAGACCCCAGCCCAGACAGCCACTAAGGCACTTAGAACGTACCGAGATATGTAATAAGAAGTCACTCTTTAGTGATTTTAAGCAGAATAAGTGACATTATCAGATCTGAACATCTAAAAGCTAATATTGGCTACAATGTACCAGAATGAATTAGGAGACCAGGTGGGAAAGGCATGAAAGATGGGAAAAGGAAGGAGATTTTACCAGGAGGTCACAAAACCAAGTCAGCCGAGAGACAGCACTGGCCAGGACCACAGAGATCCCGGTGGGTTCATCGAAGGGCACGAGAAAGTGGGCAGACCAAGTACAAACTGGGGGTCTCCCACGCCTGTCCAGCAGCGCCAAGGAGCCCCCACACAGGCGTCAACCGCGGCCGAGTAGGCCCCGGATCTCGGCCCCCACCTGGCAGTCACGAGGATGTCACCTAGGACGGGGGGCTCCTTTGACACCCAGAGTCTCATCATAGCGTAAAACCACAAACACACAGTGAGCCACCGTACCTGCTCCTGAAAAATCTTGGCCAAGGGGGCGCAGTCCGTCAGCTTAATGAACCGCACCACGTCGGTGACCGTCCACTCTAAGGGGTTGCTCTCCAGCACGAGTCTCTCCTCCTCCTCCTGTTTCGTTTCCTGCAGGGGGAGGCAGGCGGGACATCAGCCACCGTGTGGTCGGCCAGATCCCCCCACACCCTCCCAGCCTGGGAGCGGCTGCCTCCTCTGGGTCTCTGGTTGGGCATCTCCCAGCATCTCGTCCCAGGATGACTTCGCTGGCAACCACCCATGTGCCCTCAGAGGTTAAGAAAACGGGCACAGTGACAGTCACTCTCGAACCCTAGTCTGGGAAATCCTGAGCCTGCTTATTAACGAAGCACCTCTGATGAGAGACGAGAGCTGCCAAGGGCACAGCCAGTGGCTCCCCCACTGCTGTGTGTGACGATGGTGCCTGAACCTGTTTCCACTACGGGCTCAGGGAGACCTGACGCGCTGATTTAATGCTTTATAACCCCACAGTGGTGTCCTCTAATGGGGAACAGGGAAGCAAATACAAGGTGGTCATGGGAGACACAGAGATGGAATTTTGGAAACCCAGGGCTGGAAGGGACCCGGTGGGCTCCCTGCCCTGACAAGGACCCCGGTGGCGTTGAAGCCGTCCAGAAAAGGCGATGCCCTGGGAGCTCCAATGTGGTGCTGAAGGACCCCTGTGCCCAGCGGAGGAATCGCCACCCTTTGTCCCCGACTCGGGAATTTGGCCAGAGCAGCCGCTGCTGTTCCGGATATTACACAGGTTTCCCCAAGTCACCGCCCTGCCCGCAGTGCGTGCCCTGCTTAGGAGTGAGTGGGAAGCCTCTGCCCCGGGCAGTACCTCTGCGCCCTCGGGCTTGGCGGGCGGGCCCTTGTCTCCCTCCTCCGCAGGGGAGGCGGCCGGCGCTCTGCGGCCCCTGCGTGCCCTCTCCACGGGCGGCCGGCGCGCGGGCTCCGAGCTGCTCCTCAGGGTGACGGCCCTGCGGGGCCGGGCCGAGGGCACCTCCGCGGACGAGGTGTCCGTCTGGTCATCCCGGAGCTCGGAGCCGGTCTCCTCGCTCGCGGTGTCATCGTCCATGGCGTCTGCGTCCTCTTCTTCACTTTCCTGGGAAGAAGAGAAAGGGACTTAGGAGGGGTGAGCGGAGAGGGGTCTTCGTGGACGCAGCAGGGTGGCCCGACAGCCCCACAGCCGGGCTCCGAGCAAGGTCTCTCCTGCGAGGCCACCAAAGACAGACCTCGTTGTCCCAACGTGGCCCTTCAGCCAAAGTAGCTAACACGTCAGACGTTTTCACCAATCAGGAGCGGGGCGCTTCGTCCTCCGTGTTTCCGACCGTCTGCCGCAAACCTGCGCTGCCGCCCTGGCTGCAAGGCGGTCGCATCCGCGGCGGGGCTGCGCGTCCACGCCGAACGACGCGAGCTGCGTGAGGGCGGGACGTACCTCCCCCGAGCCTGCGGCGAAGTCCACGGCCGAAGATCTCCGTTTCTTCTGCACAAAGATGGACTTCCGCCGCTTCCTCCGCCTGGCCGGCTTGGGGTGTCCGCTTTCGACGTTGCTTTCCCCAATTGGGGGCTTGGTGATCTTCTTCCTCTTTCCGTAGTAGTAGGCTGTGGGGAGAAGGCGATTGGAAGCTTCACTGCGCTGTGCACGCACACACGTGCACGCGCGCACAGAGAGCGAGGGGGAGAGAGGGAGGGACTGCGCCTTCATTAGGGACGATAGAAGTTCGACATCTGATTTGTGCCTGAGAAAACGGGTCCGCGGAGAGGAAACAGTCTCCGGTGCTGCACGTTCGGGTGTTACGGGCTGAATTACGTCCCTCTTCATCCGTATGTTGAAGCCCTAACCCCCCAGCGTGACCGATCTGGAGACGGCACCGCCTTTAAAGAGGCATCAAGGTTAAATGAGGTCCCAAGCCCCAGTGCAGTATGAGGCCTTAATCCAGGAGGATCCGAGCCTTCATAAGAGGAAGAGACACCACCCACTGAGGCTACCCTGGACAACTTCCGGGTCATCCCAGACAACTTCCGGGTCATCGCCCCTTAGATTAGAAATGACGGAGGAGAGAGGCAGGAAGCTCAGACCTGTGGATCAGAGAGAGTGCTCGGGCTCGAGGCACCAAGGTGGAGGTGTCCGGGAGCGGCCACCACGGGTGGAGGAAAAGGCCACCAAGACAGGGGCAGGGTGGGGCTTGGGAGAGGCAGGAACTAATAAGGGTGGGGCAGTGGTAAGAGCTCTGAGTCCTGCGTCCCGCAAAGGCAGCTGGGAGCAAAGAGAGTGACAGTGGCTTTTGAATCCTCCATCCTTCCTCCCTTGGAGGTAGCCTGGAGGAACGTGTCTGAGCAGGGGAGCAGGTCACGACAGGGGTGTGGCCCCCGTGCAAAGGGCGATGAAAGAGTCATCACCACTTCTCAGTGTGAGGACCGAGGAAGTCACTGGGGTTACCAGTCGTCACTGACGATCAGTTTAGTCATGGTCTCCTTCCGGCCACCCAGCTTTCGAATCCACCAGTCCACGTCAGTATACACACGACAGCATACACAATCTCATTTACACACATTCTCGTTTCTTCTTCTCCAAGGCCTACCAATGGTAATTCATCCCGCTTTTAATCGTCCCACCTCGTCTTATGCCAGGCTACAAACACACAGGTAGCTGCTACAGTAAATTAAAAAAAAAAAATTCTTCCATAGTAATTCCCATGGAAAACTATTCAAAAGGTTCCAAAACAGAAAATGAAACAGAAACCAAAGGCACGGCACCGCAGTTAGGCCTCTGGGCCCACGCTGTTTTTCACTTTTTGTACTTACTGTATTTGGTCTTGGTATGGATGGAGCAGTTCTCTGGGCAGTTTTCAGAAACCAGCACAGGACTGAACAAATTGGGACAGCATTCCAGCTTGGCACAGACCCGGCGGCAGAAATTGGCTACCTGGTCAGACGTCCGTACGATCTTAACCACAGCCCTGTACGTTTTGCCTCGGTACCTAGAACACAGGAGGGCAACGCAATGGTAGGACCAAGTTTTATGTTACCCAGGCCTCCCTGGTACAGCACGTTCCAAACACGGCCGAGTCACTTCACTTTCTAACAACGAAGCATATATTGTGAGTGGTTTCCGTTTTATTTGTTTGTGAACTTTCTTATGATCTCACAACTCCCAACGCAACTGTAACTGATGACGGGGCCTTACAGAGGTAATTAGAGTCGAATGAGGTCATGTGGGTGGCCCTGATCCAACAGGACTGATGGCCTTGGAGGACAGGATGAAGACACAGGGTGCACGTGCACACAGAGAAGAGGCCAAGTGAGGACACGGCAAGAAAGTGCAGTCGGAAAGCCAAAAAGAGGCCTCAGGAGGTACAGCCCTGGCACCTTCCTCCTGGACTTCCAGCCTCCAGAACTGTCAGAAAATAAATGCCTGCTGCTCAGGCCGTCCAGCCTGCAGCTCTTTGCTACGCGCCTGGGCTGACGGTACAACTCTCACAGCTCCAGGGGGTGAGGCAGGTATAGGGATGGGCAGCATCCACCTCTCCCTTTCTCGGCTTACATTTTCCAACCATCCTCTGAGGGCATCCTTAAGTGCTTTTCTCTGCTCTTAGGGCAAAGCCCAGTCTAGACTAAAGGTGTGGAAGTTTTCCTGAAAACTTTTTCAATGCACCAGAAAAGCAAGACCTAGAAATTCAAATACCTTTTATACTTATCCGCAATGAACTGATTTTATGGTATCTGAATCCTAAAACCACAACTTACATTGCTTACAGAGTTGGCTACTTTCCTGCCACAATACTTAAAATATTAATTAATCTCATGTCTTCCCCATGGCTGGTAACAGCAGCGGGAAATGCAGTATTGCTCTCCTTGAGCATAACTATTGGGTGAAAAATCAACATTAAGCCCCCTCCCCTGCCTCCCCCCATCCACCAACGTGATAAAGAACTGAGAGTGAGACGTGCTTCCAGAATCTGGATATTGGCATTTGCGACTCATTACTCTTGAAAAAAAAAAAAACCTTTCTCCTGCCTCAAGAAAAACCATATGCAATGAAGTCACCAACATAAGACCAACAAGCAGAGCTCCTGGAAAGCAGACTGGATGGGTTCTTGTTTTAAAAAGAGGTACTCACAGCGTTTATCCAAATATTTTTGGTAATGTGATTTACATAATGCCTGGCTGAAAACATGAGCACTTAAAAGAAGTTTCAATCACCTTTCAACACATTTTTAAAGCTATCCCGGGTAGCAAATCACGATGAACTTTTCAGTTGGCGAAGATTACGGGTCTTTATTTGGTTCACATCTCACCGAGCTACTGAAATGTGGAACTTCAACTTGTTCTTTTTTTATGTCTTTCTAAAAACTGGAAAAATACTTTTCCACTAATAAATCATTCTTTTTAAGTATCGACAGCAAAAAATTAAATTCTAACTTGGAAAAAAAATGTACTTTATATATTTATTCACTGCTCTTCCACACTCCAGCCCCTCTGTATTCCCTCGTTCCTCAACTTCTCCGACGCGCCGAGCTCGATTCGCCTCGTACGTTTTCGGGAGAGCAAACTGTGCACATCCGAATGAGGTAAACAAAAACTAACAAATGAACAAAAAAACCTTTTTCCGTGAAAAGTCTCTCAGTTTGAGAATCCTTTTTCACGTAAATCACTTTATAGCCAAATGTTGCATCCACTGTTCATAAAATATAGGCTTGAGTAAAAGGCCAAAAAAAAAAGTCAAATAAATAGAAACTCATATAAAATTAGCCACTGCATATGAAAAAGAAGAAACCAAAATATTTCCACAGAGCTGAGCACCACTCACC